CAAGAGAAACGTGAAAATGGCTTACTACTTGATTTACATGTATATGTTTGATCAATAAAGCCGAAATTATATTTTTTAAAGGAGCCAGACGATATAAAGCTGTCAAGAGGAGAACATGATTCATAGAGGAACTTCTCACAGAGGTTCCGGGAAGGCCGATCGAAATCACGATATTGCAATACGAAGAGGCAGGGCAGAAGAGTAATATTTATTGCGAATCAGGCGAGGCTATGCCTAGCACTTATGTGCCTGATGTATTTTTACACACTTTTGAGTGAGACCAGGTAAGCCTCGATTTAGTAATAATCGATTTCGCTCAATTCGGAACTAATATGAGACATTTTTAGAACGTAATTCAGAACATAAACCATCAAGCCAAAAATGATATTGATATTAATGATATTCATTAGCGTTGGGATCCGGTTAATAGCGAATTATTTCCGATTTATTTTTGTACTACGAGCCGTTTTAGGAATAATGCTATAAATAATAAATCGGAAAAACCAGAATGATGCGAGAGCAGAAGCGAAGCTTCCTTGTTTCAAGTTCTCACTCCGTGAGTCGTTGGTGCCTGACTTCGAGTACTTACATCGATCATCGCGCAGGTATTCAGGTCTTTGAATGTCTTTGACTCGGCAAATTCATTTATTTGTGTGAGAAGGAAATACGATTAGTAAAATGTTATATAATAGGATTACGCTCAGAGTCTACTTAGTAATCGTAATCTCGGAGATTCCAACTTTCCACAGGAGTTGAACAAACCATTTCTTACTTCCTATGTGATTGAAAAAAATCGATCATCTGATCCTTAGAAAACTCTGCTGTCTATTCTATATCTCCCACAAAAGGAGCCAAACCCTTCATCTGTAACATCGTGATAAAGTCACTAGATCAAACAATGTTCCCAATTCAATGATACAGATGCTAAATGATTTGAAAATGCAGGTCTGTCAAATGATGTGATTTAAGTGTAAGGGGTAATGTTAATGGCATCCTGTAGTCAGTAATAACATTATCTCTATCGCTATGTGCTTGTTTTACCTAATAATTAGAAATTGTTGTTACACACATTCAAGGGAAGTGTAATTATATGTGCTCCTGTTATAAAGATTTTTAATCTTCTTCATTTGGCGTTTAACATCACTTTTTACCAATTGTAATGAAAATTTTAATAAAATTCTGTATATAATTCCAAAATTCTTATACACACAAATCCCAAATTAATATCTTAAAACTTTCCATTTAATTTTAATTTGGGACGAGAAAATTTGTCAAAATTCAAAAAATTCGCATCTGATATAGGGTTCGATTATAATTTGATTTTTTGATAGAGGTGTCCACCAACCCCCCCCCCCTTAAATATTACCTAATATATGTCACTGCCCATTAATTTGTAGTTTTTCAAATGATATTAGGTAATAAATGTCAGTGCCCTAATATATATATCGATATATTGTAAGCTCAATATAATTAAATCTGTGAAGTTAGACCATCATCTCTAAAATTCAAACCGGTTTTAAATTTGGTATATAAGACTCAAACGTTGCAACATTGAAAAACAAGAGATGTTCAAAAGAATTGGCGAAGAATGAAAAGTACTCTCCTTGATTTCGCTTTGTATCTATCTAGTGCAGTACAATGATAATAGCTTTTGATCACAGACTTTTTTTATTTTTCTCATTTAATTGTACCTGTTTATCATAGTCGTTATTCTCCATAGTCGTAAAAAAATATAATTTCGGCTTTATTGATCAAACATATACATGTAAATCAAGTAGTAAGCCATTTTCACGTTTCTCTTG